ACAATTACTAATTGGGCATTATGTAAAATTGTGGATGTGTAACTGACGTGATTCTGCAATCTGCATTTGGGGTAAAATTGGGAGTTCATAATCTACTTCAATCTAGTGTATGAAATATGATATGTCAAGAGCTTTGTAATGTTGTGAACAACCAATAAAAAAAAATAAAAAATTTTAAAAAAAATAATAATAATTCTTCCGCAGACTCTTGAGTAGCTGGGACTATAGGTATGCATCACTAAGCCCAGCCATATCTAAGTCTAGTTCTGATGCTTATTTTATCTCTTCAGACTGGTTTTTATCTTATAACTTTTTGTTGAAAACCAAAGTCCCTGTTTCAGGTAATAAAAACTGAAGAAGATAAGCTTTTAGTGCTGTTTTAAGTTTATCTGGTTAAGACAAACTGTGTATTTACTCTGCTTTGCTGTGCTAAAAGAGGTATTTCCTCCAGTGTCTTGTTGTGGTTTTTTTGTTTGTTTTTTGTTTTTTTGTTTTCTCCCCTATTGTCTTTGGGTTTTCCTAGAGTAAGAATTTAAGAGTAAATGCTGAGGCTTGCAATTCTTTTAGCTGTGCTCCTCTTAGGCAGGATCTCTGTTGATGTGGTGGTAAGGTATGGGAGGAAGAGAAGTATTCTATAATCCTACAATTAGGTCTCAGTCTTTTTGTGAATCTAAGTTGGATATTTCTCTTTCTACATGCCATAGGCTAGCGCTGTGGCTAGAGTTGGGTATTTCCCCTCATTGTTCAGTTAGGCTTTGATAAAGCGCAGTTGGGTAGGCTCTGGTAAAATCATTTTCCTGGAGGGAAAACCTTGTTAAGGAGAGCAGAAGGCTCTAGGTCTATTTCCAAATGGTTATATTTCCCTTCTTCATATAGAGACTTTTCTCTGATCTTCACAGTGAGAACATGGTATGGATTGTGGACATAAAGTTTGGGAAATTATTGTTAGTCCCCTAACTTTGGGTCCTCTCAAAGTTTTTAATTCTCAAGCCAATCTACACTGAGCCTTCAGTAATTTATCAGTTACAGTTTCAAGTGTTCCAACTGATATTCTATCTGCTAGCTTCTGCTCCTGTGTTTTTCCTCCATGTGAGCTGTGAGTCTCTGTATCATCTGTCTCTATAGTTTTTATGGACAGCAGTTTGTCCTTTGACCTTTGTTCTCTAACAGATATAAGTAGAGCTCTTAATTTTCAGTTCTTTTTCCATGTTATGAGGTTGGAAATGACAACCTCCAAGCTCTTTCCATGTCAGATGGGATACTGGATATCACCAGGGTGGTTTTTAATCCTGATATCACTATTTATGAACTGTGGGCCTCATATTCTCATCTGTGAATAGTAATACCTACTTTGCAAACTTGCAAGTAAATGTAGGTTTTGTGTATGTAAATCTCTTGGTATGACATGATAATTCCATGAGTACAGGTAGCTTTATTATTGATTGATGGCATACTTTTTTGAGGAACTGGGCATGCTCCAAACAGTAATCTAATCTGGACTGAGAATTAGCAGTCTTTCCTGATAGTTAATCAAGACCTTTATTCACTTATAGTTTTACTTGAAAACCAAAACTGAGTTCAGTTTTTAATTCTTTCTATATGCATCCATTTTATATTGCTAGCAACACAATGCCACAAACTGGGTAAATTATAAAGAAAAGAGGTTTATTTTGATTCATAGTTCTGGAGGTCCCAGGTTAAGAGAATGCATCTAGGTATAGTTTTGTTGTTCTTTGTTTATTTATTTGTTTGTTTGTTTTTGCAGTGCTGGGCATTGAGCCCAGGGCCTTGTGCATGGTAGAAAAGTACTCTACCACTGAATTGTATCCCCAGGGGCTGCATCTAGGGATGGCCTTCTAGCTTCCAGAGTACCAAGACAGTGCAGAGCATCACATGGAGAGAGGCAGGACATACACGTGTATATGTGGGTCTCTTCAGGTCTTTCCTTCTAAGCTACTAGGATTCATTCATGGAGGCTCTACCCTGATGACCTTATCTACTCCTAATAACCTCCCAAAGCCCCACCCCACCCCATAACCATAGTCAGATTTAAGTTTCTACCCTCTTAACATCTTAAATTGGGATTAAATTTCAATATGTGAAGCCTTTGGGGACACAGTCAACTATATCTAACATTCACTTTACATTACTGTACAGTAAAAAAAAAATTCTGAATGATGACTGTATTAAGCCTTCATTCATTTCATATATCTGTGTTATTTCTTAATCTTCTTGTTTTATACCTGTAGTAGCAAATTATTTAGTGTTAGAAAGTTCACTAGACTGAGAAATAGAAGAAATGAGCTTGAGATCTAATTCCATAATTAATTAGGTGAATGATTTTGAGCACTTAAATACTCAGGTGTCAGTTTCTTCCTCAGTACCACAGTCTGAGCCAGATAATCAAAAAACCCTTTTCAAGACAAAATTTAAACCTATTAATAAGTTATCGAAGTGACAAACTAACAACTTTCCACTTATTCATTAAATATTTATTCATGAGCTATTGGATATATTGCACAATATTGGACATAAGGCATGAAGATAAGGAAGTAGAACAAAATAAACAAAGCTTATATTCTAGCTAGGAGTTAGGCATTTAGCCAATAATCACACAAGTGAATAAATAACTACACATTGTGATAGCCATTGTGAATGAAACTAAGGTGCTGGTGAATGAATGTAATAGAGGGCCCTACAGGAACCAGATTTTACGAGAAGGTTAAGGGGTATTTTCCTAAGGAAGTAATAGTAGGCAATGGCCAGATGAAGGGTGGTAGCAAAGGTAGTATTCCTGCAAGAAACATCCATTCAAAAAGCCATGACACAGGAAAGGGCTTGGCAAGTTAAAGGAAAGGTGGCTGTCTTGGATGGAGCTTAGTGAGAAGGAGACAGGAGAGACAGAGTCAGGAGCCAGGGTAGACAGGGACTGGACTCCCAAAGAGCCTTGTCTTGTCTGAATTTCCAGTTCTATTTTATGGCAGCTGCAATCATTGAAAGCTTTTCCAGATTACCTTGACTCTAAGATTTAGCTTCACTCTGATGTCCTCTCTTTAAGGTCTGCAAAGCAAAGCAAAAGAAGCTGTCTGAGGAAATTTACTTGCAGTGATTAATGTAAAAATAGATCAACAGGAAAACACTTAATTTTCTTTGGGATGGGGATGAAAGCAATGGTTCTTGATGTTGGCTGCAGAGTAGAATCATTAGGAGAGTTGTGAAAACTCCTATTGCCTTGTTTCCTCCTTTTTGAGTAGTCATCTAACTGGTCTAACATAAGGAAGGAGGATTTCTGAATGCTCCTCAGTGATTCAGATGTGCAACCAAGGTTGAAATCACTAGAAGGGACAGCTAAAAAGCTTGAAGTTTTAATAGTTTTTATTCTACCACAGTTGCATTCATTTTTAGAAGGAGTTTTTAAAAACAGCCAATATGCTTTCCAGGAACTTCTGTTCATGCTTCACAAAAGTAGACTTTTCTAGTTCTCACAACCCCACAAGAATTTTCTTATTATTTTAACCATTGGAAAGATAAGGAAATTGAGACATAGGGTTTGAATAACTTGCCCAAGGCCACATTGCTAGTAAACAGAAGAGCTGACATTTAAACTCAGGTTTGGCTCCAAAGTCCTCTATTTTGTTACAAAACCTCTTGTTTGTTTGCTGAGTCATAAGGGAGGTAACAATCTGGCTGCTTTCAACATTGTCAGCACACAGGTAAAGAACTTCTTGTTATTTCAGGGTCTCCAAAAACCAAGTTTATGTCCTAATAAGGGAAAAAAGAAGGGAGGGAGGGAAAAAACTGTTTATATAGTAAGAGCAGAAAGAAAAGTCATAAAATAATCCTTCCCAAAAGAGAATTATATATCTTTAAAAATAAATGAAATTTAAGCACCATAAGGAAAAATCACTAGAAATATAAAATACATTAATCTCCCAACTAAATATGTTTACAGAAAATTTGGAAAAGATGTGATCACCACAGTGACTTAGAAGGAACTGCCTAAGACAGCCTGGGCTTCTTTCTCTCCTCTGAAAGCAAGATGTCCTTCAAGGCTTTTCGCAGTGAGTCATATTGTCCCTGAGGTATATAACATACAGTGGCTTCCCTTCAGGGTCCCTAAGCTCCAGAGCTAGGGAGGTACACAAGTTGAGACTCTATCTGCCTCAGGCAGCTTCCTGAGCCATGGAAAACCAGTTCACAATGGAGCCTAGACTTCTTTTGTCCATTGCTGCCTAACTATAAGTAATTCATCTGCTTTTCATAACTTGTTGCGTTTTGAGAGTGTTTTTCTCTCACCAGACTCAGGCAATTGGTAAAACTACAGCTTAATGCACTGGAAGGAAGTATTTGGACTCCTGTTTTGGGTGGTAAGTATAGTAATGATCATTGCTATCTTCCACCTAGTAGGAGCCTCCTTTCTGCTTCACAGAATTCTCACAGAAAGCAAGGTCTAACCTCATAGAATACCTCCCAGTATCTGGATTATTGTGGAGAAGTCAGCCTGGAAGCCCAGGAACTGGGTGTGTTTTCTGGCTGCATGGAACAAGACAAAGAGAGTGGAAGAAAGGAATATGTACACAGTTCAGTTGGGGATTCATGTCTTGTTGGGTAGTTGTGTGATCAGTCCTTCTCTGGACAGATGGTTACTCAGATGGGCCCTGAGGCACAGGGAACAAAAAAGACGTCCTCAGATGGTTCCTGGGCACCTAAGAAGGAACTAATATGTGCAATGCAGGTCTTCATAGAAAGGGAGACTTACAGTTTTAGAGACAGGTATGGGCAAAAAAACTGGGAAGGGACTTGCTGTATTGTTATTTCAGATAGTTTTTGAGTAAGGATAGAACATTTGGCTGTTCTGAAATTAATGGCACTATTAGGAGTGGGATCAAAGTCTCCAGGTCACCACAGGAGGTCAGTGGCTCTTGGCTTCTGTAGATAATAGGGGAAGCCAGATGTGGTGGTGCATGCCTGTTATCCTAGCAACTTGAGAGGCTGAGGCAGGAATATGGCAAGTTCAAGACCAGCCTCAGTAACTTAGTGAGTCTCTGTCTCAAAATAAAAAATGAAAAGGGTTGGGGATGTGGCTCAGTAATTAAGTCCCCTGGGTTCAATTCCCAGAGGAAGGAAGGAAGGAA